CCTACCAGATGTTTAAAGAAGAACTGACTCCAATTCTCAAGATATTCAAAACAACTGAAAGGAAGGGAATCCTCCCAAACTCTTTCTGTGAAGCCAGCATCATCTTAACTCCTAAATCTGAAAAAGATACAACAGAGAAAGAGAACTATAGACCAATATCCCTGAAGAAAATACACATAAAAATCCTCAACAAAATACTAGCCAATTGAATCCAACAACACATCAGAAAAGTCATTCAACAGGACCAAGTGGGATTTATCCCTGGTATGCAGGGATGGTTCAATATCTGCAAGTCAATCAATGTGATACATCACATTAACAATCTGAAGAACAAAAACCATATGATTATCTCAATAGATGCAGAGAAAGCAACTGATAAAATACAACACCCTTTCATGATGAAAACTCAAAGCAAATTGGGTATCGAAGAATGGGGAAAAGTTGGAAGCATTCCCACTGAGATCCAGAACCAGACAAGGATGCCCACTCTCACCACTGCTATTCAATACAGTCCTGGAAGTTTTAGCCAGAGCCATTAGGCAAGAAAAATAAATCAAAGGAATATAAATTTGGAAGGAAGAAATCAAAGTATCCCTATTTGCAATTGACATGATTCTAAATATAGGGGATCCAAAAGACTACACTAAGAGACTATTGGAACTCATAGAAGAGTTTGGTAAAGTGGCAGGATTTAAAATCAAAACACAAAAATCTACAATCTTTTTTTTTTTCAATTATCTTTAGATACAGATGATCAACTTGGTATATACTAAATAAAGATTTCAACAGTTTGTACCCACACAGATACACAAAGTAGAAAGCACTGTTTGAGTAGTAGTTTTACCATTAATTCACATAGTACAACACATTAAGGACAGAGATCCTACATGGGGAGCAAGTATACAGTGACTCCCGTTGTTGATTTAACAACTGACACTCTCATTTATGACATCAGTAATCACCCGAGACTCTTGCCATGAGCTGCCAAGGCTATGGAAGCCTCTTGAGTTCACAGTCTCCAACCTTATTTAGACAAGGCTATAATCAAAGTGGAAGTTCTCTCCTCCCTTCAAAGAAAGGTATCTCCTTCTTTGATGGCTCGTTCATTCCACTGGGATCTCACTCGCAGAGATCTTTCATTTAGGCTTTTTTTTTTTTTTTTTTTTTTTTTTGCCACAGTGTCTTGGCTTTCCTTGCCTGAGAAACTCTCATGGGCTTTTTAGCTGGATCCGAATGCCTTAAGGGCTGATTCTGAGGCCAGAGTGCTATTTAGGACATCTGCCATTCTATGAGTCTGCTGTGTATCCCACTTCTCATGTTGGATGGTTCTCTCGTTTTTAATTCTATCAGTTTTTATTAGCAGACACTAATCTTGTTTATGTGATCCCTTTGACACTTAATCCTATCATTATGATCAGTTATGAACTGAAACTGATCTCTTTGACTAGTAAGATGGCATTGGTACATGCCACCTTGATGGGATTGATTTGGAATCCCCTGGCACATTTCTAGCTCTGCCATTAGGGGTAAGTCCAATGAGCATGTGCCGAACTGTACATCTCTTCCCTTTCTTATTCCCACTCTTATATTTAACAGGGATCACTTTTCAGTTAAATTTAAATGCCTAAGAATAATTGTGTGTTAAACAGTTCAACCAATGGTATTAAGTAGAACAAAAATTATATTAAAAGGAATAAATTATTAAGTTGTTCCTCAACAGTCAGGACAAAGGCTGATCAAGTCATTGTTTCTCATAGTGTCCATTTCACTTCAACAGGTTTCCTTTTAGGTGCTCAGTTAGTTGTCACAGATCAGCAAGAACATACGATATTTGTCCATTTGGGACTGGCTTATTTCACTTAGCATGATGCGTTCCAGATTCTTCCATTTTGTTGCAAATGACCGGATTTCATTTTTTTTTACTGCTGTACAGTATTTTATAGAGTACATATCCCATAATTTCTTTATCCAATCTACTGTTGATGGGCATTTAGGTTGAAAAATCAACAATCTTTGCATACATAGACAACGCCATGGATGAGAAAGAACTTCTAAGATGAATTCCATTCACAAAAGCTATGAAAGAAATCAAATACATTGAAATAAATTTAACCAAGGATGTCAAAGATCTCTACAATGAGATTTTCAAAAGATTAAAGAAATAAAAGACACACAAAAAAATGGAGAAATATTCTATGTTCATGGATTAGAAGAATCAATATCATCAAAATGTCCATACTACCAAAAGCAATTTACAGATTCAATGCAAAACAATCAAAATACCAAGGACATTCTTCTCAGATAGAAAATACAATGCTGAAATTCATATGGAAATATAGGAGACCCTCAATATCTAAAACAATCTATACAACAAAAACCAAGCAGGAGGCATCACAATTCCAGATTTCAAAACATATTACAGGGCAGGATAACCAAAAAAAGCCTGGTACTGGAACAAAAACAGATGCATAGACCAATTGAACAGAACAGAAATGGGGGCCGATACTGTTGTGTGGTGAGTGAGGCTGCCTCCTGTGGTGCCTGTGACAGATCCCAGCTGCTCCTCTTCCAATCTATCTCTCCGCTATAGCGTGGGAAGACAGTGGAAAATGGCCCAAGTCCTTGAGCCCTTGTACCGCCTGGGGAGCCTGGGGGGAGCTCCTGAGTTCTGGCTTCAGATCAGCACAGTTCCGGCCATTGCGGCCATCTAGGGAGTAGACCAGTGGATGGATGACATCTCTCTCTCTCTCTGCCTTTGCCTCTCCATAGCTCTGACTTTCAAGTAGATAAATAAATATTTTTTAAAAAAAGAGAGTGAGAGAAAGTAAGAAACGCTTCCCTCACATCCTATATTTCAATTAAAACACTTTAAAAAAAAATAGAAACATCTGAAATCAATCCATGCATCTACAACCAACTTATCTTTGACAAAGCAGCTAAAATCAACTCCTGGAGAGCAAGGACAGTCTCTTAAACAAATGGTTCTGGGAAAACTGGATCTCCAATGCAGAACTATGAAGCAAGACTCCTACATTACACCTTTCACAAAAATCCACTCAAAATGGATTAAAGAGCTAAATCTGAGACCCAATATGGTCAAATTACTAGAGAACATTGGGGAAACCCTGCAAGACATTGGCACAGGCAGAGTTCTTGGAAAAGACCCCAGAGGCACAGGCAATCAAAGTGAAAATTGAGAAATGGGATTACATCAAATTGAGAAGCTCTGTATTGAAAAAGAAACACTCTGTTAAGCGAAGAGGCAACTGACAGAATGTGAGAAATTATTTGCAAACTATGCAACTGATAAAGGATTAATAACCAGAATATAAAAAGAGATCAAGAAACTCAACAACAACAAAACAAATAACCTTGTTAAGAAATGGACAAAGCACTTAAACTGGTATTTTTCAAAAGAAGAATTCCAAATGGCAAACAGACACATGAAAAAATGCTCAGGATCACTAGCCATCAGGGAAATGCAAATCAAAACCATAATGAGGGGCCAGTGCTGTAGCACAGCAGGTTAACGCCCTGGCCTGAGGTGCTGGCATCCCATATGGGTGCCGGTTCTAGTCCCTGCTGTTCCTCTTCCAGATCCAGCTCTCTGCTATGGCCTGGGAAAGCGGTAGAAGATGGCCCAAGTCCTTGGGCCCCTGCACCCACGTGGGAGAACTGGAAGAAGCTCCTGGATCCTAGCTTTGGATCAGCACAGCTCCAGCCATTGCGGCCATCTGGGGAGTAAACCAGAGGATGGAAGATCTCTCTCTCTCTCCCTCTCTCCCTCTCTCTCTGCCTCTTCTCTCTCTGTCTGACTTTCAAATAAATAAATAAATCTTAAAAAAAACACACACACACAATGACGTTCCCCCCCCCTCCTATAGGAATGGTTTCTTTCTTTCTTTTTTTTATCTTTTTTTTGCCGACTGGCAAAGTGGACAGTGAGAGAGAGACAGAGAGAAAGGTCTTCCTTTTGCCGTTGGTTCACCCTCCAATGGCCGCCACGGCTGGTGCGCTGCGGCCAGCGCACCGCGCTGATCCGCTGATCCGCTGATCCGAAGGCAGGAGCCAGGTGCTTCTCCTGGTCTCCCATGGGGTGCAGGGCCCAAGCACTTGGGCCATCCTCCACTGCACTCCCTGGCCACAGCAGAGAGCTGGCCTGGAAGAGGGGCAACAGGGACAGAATCCGGCACCCCAACAGGGACTAGAACCCGGTGTGCCGGCGCCACTAGGTGGAGGATTAGCCTATTGAGCCGCAGCGCTGGCCTAGAATGGTTTTCAAAAAGAAATCAATGAACAACAAATACTGGTGAGAATGTGAGGGGAAAGTACTTTAATCCACTGTTTGTGGGATTGTAAACTTTTAAAGTCACTATGGAAGTCAGTATTGAGATACCGCAGAAATCTGAATATAGACCCACCATATTACCCAGCCATCCCACTCCTGGTAATTTCCTCAAGGGAAATGAAATAAGCATATGAAAGAGTTATCGGTACCCCCTTGTTTATTGCAGTTCAATTCATAATAGCTAAGATACGGAATCAACCCAAAAGCCCATCAAGTGAATACTGGATAAAGAAGTTATTAGAGGCCGGCGCCGCGGCTCACTAGGCTAATCCTCCGCCTTGCGGCGCTGGCACACCGGGTTCTAGTCCCGGTTGGGGTGCCAGATTCTGTCCCAGTTGTCCCTCTTCCAGGCCAGCTCTCTGCTGTGGCCAGGGAGTGCAGTGGAGGATGGCCCAAGTCCTTGGGCCCTGCACCCCATGGGAGACCAGGAGAAGCACCTGGCTCCTGCCGTCGGATCAGCGAGGTGCGCCGGCTGCAGCGGGCCGGCCGTGGTGGCCATTGGAGGGTGAACCAATGGCAAAGGAAGACCTTTCTCTCTGTCTCTCTCTCTCACTGTCCACTCTGCCTGTCAAAAAAAAAAAAAGAAGTTATTAGATATGTACATTATGAAATACTACACAACAGTTAAAAAAAATGAAATCTGATCCTTTGCAATAAAATGGATGGAACTGGAAATCATCATACTTAGTGAAATAAGCCAGTCCCCAAAGGGCAAATATATGTTCTCCCTGACCTGTAATAACTAATAGAGCACCTAAATGACAATCTACAGGAGTGAAACTGACATTTTGAGAAGCAATGACTTTGAACAGCCTTTGTCTCAACTGTTGAGGAATCACTTTTTTTCATACTGTTTGCTGAACTCTTAACATAGAGTTAATCATGTGTATGAAGTTAATTGAGAATAAATCTTAGTTAAAAATAAGAATGGGAATAGGAGAGGGAGGAGAAAGAAGGGTAGGAGGTCAGGTACGATAGGAAGAATCACCATCTTCTTACAGTTGTAATTATGAAATGTATAAGTTTGTATTCCTTAAATGAAAGGTTTATGGGGAAAAAAAGTGGATCAAGGGGTTGGTTCCTCTACTCACATGTGAGATACGGAATTGAGTTCCTGGATCCTGGCTTCAGTTCTTCCCTGTCTGCTGTGGGCATCTGGGGAGTGAACCAGCAGACAGAAGCTGTCTCTTTGCCTTTCAAAAAAGATACGTAAATAAATAAATTATGCCAAAATGACAAATATATTTTTAATTTTATCAACATAATCTACCAACAAATCAGTAACTTTGAAGTAGGATTGAGAATAACAAGAGAGGGATATAAAAAGAATTCTAATATATTAATACAGGAGGTAGAGGAAGCAGTCAAGCCACCTGGAGATAATAGTTCCAATTATCTGAGGGCTTGCAGGATATGAGTCTAGTTCCTCTTGCTCTGAAGACAAATATATCCCCTGCTGGAGCAGGATCACACTAGTTTAGAGGGCTAAGGCTGACCTAGATTGACCGGCAGCTCATTATATGCGCATGGTCATACATTAGCATGCTAAGTGATAATACCCACCAGCCACTATGACAGGAAACATAGGACAACATAAGGAGTAACAGCTAGTAACTAGATTCCAGGAAATCTCCACCTATTCCCCAGAAAAACCGTATCTCCCCTTTATTAGAATGCACCTCCCCTTTCATTAACAGATTCATATAAACACAAGTCAGAGTTGAAGCCACTCCCTCTGAGTAGGTCCCACTTTGCCTTTGGTTTCTGTAACTTTGTTTTCTCAATAAAACCTTTGCAGGTCACTGTTCCCTGTTCTCTCACTTGCTCCTGAATTCCTTCTTAAAGGAATTTAAGGAGCAAGTGACCTGTATACTGGGCAGCCCTCAATGTCCAGCAACAACATGAAAATATTCTTTTGGAGGGCAATTTCATAAATATCATTAATACTACACTGTGGTTTGTTGTCTACATTCATAATCAAAGAAAATAATTTCAGTTAGAGGCTAGTGGAAATAAGGTTGTAATATTTTCCCACTCAAGTTCATGACCCTGATTGACAACCTCTACCCTAGGGTTCTCTTTGACTTGAATTCGAGTCACTAGTGACTCAGTGTTCCCATTGACAGAAAGGGTAAGAACAGGAAGTACACACTGAATGTTTGAAAGCTTTGCTCCGGAAGTGATGGGTGTTGACTCTGCTCACAAGAATGTAGTCAATGACCATATTCAGCAACAACATAAACCCAATCTTTAAATATTATTGCATTAAGTAAGTTTTGATAAGCATCACAAAACAGAAAAATTCAATAAATCGTGTGTCATGAAATCATAATTTTGTATAAATATATCTCCCCTACATAACCTTCAGCATATACAAACATATTAGTTAAGTATCCAAAATCCAAAATAAAAAATGCTTCAAAATCTGAAATGTTTTGTGCGCCAACATGACACAAGCAGAAAATTCCAGTTCTGGGGGCCAGTGCTGTGGTGTAGTGGGGTAGGCCTCTGCCTGCAGTGCCGGCATCCTGTATGGGTGCCAGTTCCTGTTCTGGCTGCTCCTCTTCCAATACATATCTCTGTGTATGGCCTGGGAAAGCAATGGAAGATGGTCCAAGTGCTTGGGCCCCTGGACCCAGCATGGGAGACTTGAAAGAGGCTCCTAGCCCCTGGCTTTGGATCATCCCACCTGTGGCCATTGCGGCCATTTGGGGAGTGAACCAGCAAATGGAAGACCTTTCTCTGTCTCTCCCTCTCTCTGTCTGCAACTCTACCTCTCAAATAAATAAGTAAATCTTTAAAAAAAAAAAGAAAGAAAATTCATGTTCTGCCCTCCTGTAACTGGTCACAGTCAAAAATGCAAGCACACTAAAAATATTGTATAAAAATTCCTTCAGGCTATGTGTGTGAGATGTATATGAAACATAAATGAATTTTGTGTTTAGACTTGGATCCCATTCCCAAGAAATAAATAGAGATAAAGACAAATATTCAAAAATCCAAAAATTAATCCAAAATTCAAACACTTCTGGATGCTCAACTTGTGTGTAGTGTATGTGTGTATAAATACGTCTACATACACACGCACACACACACACACACACACAGAGTCATGTGGACATAACGACACTTACATGCTTAAAGCAGTTGCTCTGAAATTATGGTCTATGGTCCCATTCTTTATTGCCTCTTTCTTTGCTGTTTCACATTCCATCTGTCCACCAAACTTTGTTGTAAGATTCAGAACCCAGATTGTCATCATTTCTCATCATCTGCATCGCTACTACTAGGCCATCCAAGCCACGATCATATCTCATCTAGCTTACTGCATCACCTTCCTAAATCATCTCCATGTTTCTTCCCTTCACTATCATTTTTTTTAACATAGCAATTAGAGTCACCACTTTGAAAGCTCAATCGTGACATTCCTTGGCTCACAACCATCTAATGTCTTCCCAGACATTCCCCTCAGTATGAAAGCCAAAATTATAAACTAAGGTATTATCTATTCAATATTAAAAATTTTCCAATAATTTCCAAAAAAAACTCTTTCCATCTTATTTGTGGATCTGTTGTTGCTAGTGCCTAATATTAAATTAAACACAGAGCTGGTGCTAAAGCATATAGCTCTCAGTAACTTTTAGATAAGAATGAGTGAATTATGGGGAATCCTAGGAGCTCATGTAACCATCTTAGGCCACACTTGGCTCCTTTGTATTCTCTTTAATTTTTCAACATCCTACCAATGTTTAGCTATGAACTAATATACATGAACACTCTGCTGTGGATATATGAATGAGATAGACATGGTCTCTGACCCATTGGAAATATTTAATCCTTTTTCTTGAGAGTAGAAATAAACAGAAAAACTGAAAGATTCCATGCTCTGGTTCATGCTCTCCAATTCCCCAATAGCCTGGGCTGGGTCTAGGCCAATGCTGAGAGCCAGGAACTCAAACCAGATCTCCCACATGGGTAGCAGAAACCCAGTTGCTTGAGCCATTGCTGCTGCTTCCCAGGGTCTACATGAAGCTGGAGTCAGAGGCCAGAACTTGATGTCAAACACAGTCCTTGGTTGCCCTAAGCAGCATCTTAACTGCTAGGCTAAACATTGGTCCCTAATTAATACTTAAAAAAAAAAAAAAGATTTATTTACTTTATTTGAAAGGCAGTTACAGAGAAATGGAGAGACACAGAGAGATTTTCCACTCCCCAAATGGCTGCAACATTCAGGACTGGGCCAGGCCTAAGCCAGGAGCGAGAAACTCCATCTGGGTCTCCTATGTGGGTAGCAGGGGTCCAAGCACTCACACCATCCTCCTCTGCCTTCCCAGCCACATTAGCAGGGTACTGGATCAGAAGCCAGGGTGTGGGGAGCAGGGCCTGTCTCCCACAACATGGCAAAATAAGTACTGAGACTACCAAGACTAGACTAGATCACAGAGACTATTAAGACTAACTCTATGCATCTGATCTCCCATCATATGGTGCTGAGAGTAAACAAATCTTACACAGCTGCTTCATTAATTAGCTGATTCCTGGCCCAACCCCTTGAAAGGGGGAGAGAAACAACATGCGTGGCCGCGCCCCTGGACCCCCTGAGAGAGTCCTCCGGGGCGGGGGAGCGGCAGCAAACCCGGGAAGGACCGGGGAAAGAAAACAGCGCAGGGTCCGGTGCCGCTCCTCTGCGAGATGGGGAAGCGGCACAGGGGCCACTGCTTTGGCATAGTTAGTTAAGCCTCTGGCTGCTCCACTTCCCATCCAGCTCCCTGCAGATGTACCTGGAAAAGCAGCAGAAGATGGCCCAATTCCTTGACTACATCCACGTAAGAGATATAGAAAAAAATCCTGGCTTTACCCTGGCTCAGTCCTGGCTGTTGTGACCACCTGGGCAGTGAACCAGCAACTGCAAGCTCTATGTCTTTCCTCTCTCTCTCTCTCTCTCTCTCTCTCTCTCTCTAACTCTGCCCTTCAAATCAATAAATAAATCTTTAAAGAAGAAGAAGAAGAAAAAAAATAAAATGAAGGAAGAAGCAGCCAGGACTCCAACCAGTGCCCATATGAGATGCCGGCATCGCAGGTGGCAGCTTAATCTGCCGAGCCACAACAATGGTCCCTAATTAATAATTTTAATAAGAAAGTAATCATTTTTATTTAGTGTATACCATAAAACAGACTCAGTGTTCCATTACTCCCAATTTACGATCCTTTAACATTTCTCAGCCCTGAGATTCATTACTGCCAGAGATCCAGGTGTCACTGTTAGTGCACCATGTTCCCTCTCCAGTTCCTTAGTCTGACTGTCCCAGTTCTCCTGAAGGGTAAGTGTTCGATATTCCCCCTGCCCCAGCTGTAAAAATACAACCTCTAGACACAAAGCGTGTAGTGCCCCAATCCACTTGGCCCCCAGACTCCTGGATTAGGAGAGAAGGCAGTGTTTTTGTCAGCTATTCCTGCAAAAATGGCACCGAGTAAGTCCCCTCAAACCAGCAGTTTAAGACTTCACACATTCATTTTCCCCTTACAGGTCTGTGGGTTGGTTGGTTGTTCCCGGGCAGGGTAAGCAAGATTCTTATCTCTGGCCTCTGTGTTCCAGGCTTCAGTTTACAGATTGGGTTCAGGTGTACTCCATGTGTTTCTACAGTAACTAGCCAGGTCAGATCACCGAAGCACAAAAAGACAGGACATGCATATGTAAAAGCCTCTGCTCTCATAATTTCCACTCATATTTTTGGCTAAAGCGAAATCACATAGACAAGCCTTAGGTCAGTGGAGCAGTGAAACAGAGCACACTCAATGTTCAGAGGGAAATGGAGTGAATACTTGCTGACCACCAATCTAATACATCAAGATTGCTAGGAAGAAGGGCACAGAAGACAGCAGGCAGCACTAGTTCCCAAGGGAAGGGTACAGGAAAGCTATATTCTCACCATAGTTGCAGAAGGATGTGGAGAAATGGAATCTCTTCACATTCCCCCCAAAACTGCCAATGTCAACTATCCAAAAGTAATACGGAAGACCAATGGCAACCTATGTGATGATAACAGTGGTGAAATGCCACAGGGTATCAAAAATTTCATAGACATTGGTGCCCGTGAGAGAAATGAATCAATAAGAGGAAAATAAAAATTTCATTTAATTGTTTATGATGAGTGACAACTACTTATGTGAGTCAGTTGCCTCCTGTGATTCA